ACTGTCGAAAGCTTTAGATAGACTAGACAATCGCCAATTGTCGGAAGAAAGGGTATTAGGACACTGGCCGAGACTGTCCTCTGCACGCAAGGCATTGAGAGCGTTGTTGCGCTTTCTGCGGGCAAGTGGTCTTGAGATACAGACGGTAAGCAGCGTCGTGGATCGTCTGGTGACCTTCTCTCCCTTTTTTTTCTACGTTTATTTTCTGTCATCTTTTATCTCCCTTACCCCCTTCCCCAGTACAGGGTAGCCAGCCGCTCTGAGAACTGGCTAACCTCCCTGTCCTTCCTCTTTCAATCCTCCTCCTCCTTCTAAAGAAGCGGAAATTTATTTTTCCATTCTTGAAACTGTTTTAGATATAATAAAATTATCACGCAAACACAAAGTGGAGCTGGAAAAAAATCGCTATTATGTACAGCGAAAGTACGCCCAGCTATGAGCCATAGCACCTATTTACTTTTAAACACTTTCTGCCGGCAGTCTCCGTTCTGGTGAATGCACGTTTGCCATTGCATCATTAACGTGCACTTGCTGATTATCCCGGGGTATCTTTGACTTCAACGCTCAAATTCTCATTGTCATCGACGAACGCGATATTAGCGAACGTGAAGATCACTAATTGATTGATCTATTGATTGATATGTGGGGTTTAACGTCCCAAACCCACCTTATGATTATGAGAGACGCCGTAGTGGAGGGCTCCGGAAATTTCGACCTCCTGGGGTTCTTTAACGTGCGCCCATATTTGAGCACACGGGCCTACAGCATTTCCGCCTCCATCGGAAATGCAGCCGCCACAGCCGGGATTCGATTCCGCGACCTGTGGGTGGGCAGCCGAGTACCTTAGCCATTACACCACCGCGACGGGGCATGATGATCACTAAAGTAAGTATATTTGGTACAGAAATCCAGATGAGCCCATAAAAACGTGCAAAGTGAATGGAAAATTGTACAAGCGACTCCGCGCAAGAATCCTAAATCCCCTTATTATATACCTATCTGGCAACTTATGGCGCTGACACTGCATTTCTTCATCGGGTTCGCAATTGAACGGCACCCATAAGCATGCACATAGGAAATGGGAGGTACAGGGCTGCTCATTAGTTCCCAAGCCACTATCATGTGCTCATATGTCAGCCTGGCCAGGGAACTTTTGACCCCCCTCCCTGATTGATATGTGGGGTTTAACGTCCCAAAACCACTATATGATTATGAGAGACGCCGTAGTGGAGGGCTCCGGAAATTTAGACCACCTGGGGTTCTTTAACGTGGACCCAAATCTGAGCACACGGGCCTGCAACATTTCCGCCTCCATCGGAAATGCAGCCGCCGCAGCCGGGATTCGAACCCGCGCCCTGCGGGTCAGCAGCCGAGTACCTTAGCCACTAGACCACCGCGGCGGGGCTTGACCCCCCTCCCTGTATGCAGGAATGGGGGGGGGGGGGCTATACATTTAACGGGGGCCACGGCTGTGTCCTATGAGTGTCTTCGTCGAACATTTTCAGTCATTGTTTAATGCGCATGGTTACAGTGAGTCAGGCTTCTGGCGATCGTAGATGTTGCCGAGGGCCACTGGTGTTTTGTTCCAAGAGCTATTCGCAACCGTCGCCACTGACAGCCGGTAACTAAAGATCGCTATAAGCAACACATCATCGCTTTGAAAGCTGGCAGTGAGAAGTCCGTTACCTAACAAAAGACCCCTACTGTGCCGTTGCCATATCAACTGCCACAGCTACTCACCGAAATAGCCGAGTCACCGCTCCGCGCCCGGCCCGCACCACCGAGTATTACGAAAAACAGACCGAGTATCACAGATTACTCAACCTAGTTTGTGAGAGGACTTCCTATTTCGAACGCACCTAGGCCTAACTAGAAGCTCGATGCAAGAAATCGGCACTATAAGAACTTTCGCGTTTGGTGCATGGTTTATATTATTTACTTTTATCATTACTAAAAATAGAAACATTGTTTCTAGCGGTGATACACACATTCTCATTTCTTTTTTTTCTCTCAGTTTTTTCTGCTTATTTATTTTCCGCTAGGTGGCACCACCATCCCGACTGAAGCTATTGAATATATAAGAACAAGGGTGACAGAAAAATTTCAACAAAGAAGTTCTTTGCGCACCACAATAGACGAGGACGAATCAAGTCCTGCAATGGCTCCATTTTCACAACGAGAGTGGGAAAGGGCTGAGAAAAGGGTTCCTAGTAGTACATCAACAGGCCCAGATGGCATTCCAATTAGGCTGATAAAGACATTAGGTCCGAAGTCTAAGCAGGCTTTGAGAGAGACAGTGAGCAAAATAATAGATTGAGAAGTTCCCGATGGATGGAAACTTAGCAGGATGGGCATGATCTATAAAGGAAAGGGGGACAAAGCTGACATAAACAACTACCGTCCTATAACAGTGACGTCAGTGGTCTACAGGCTGGCGATGATGATTATAAAGGAAAGACTGCAGGCGAGGATAGATAATGAGGGGGTGCTGGGGGAACTGCAGAATAGGTTTCGGAAACACAGGAGGTTGGAAGACAATCTGTTTTCACTGACGCGGTGCATCGAAATAGCAGAAAAGGAACACAGGCCCCTGTGGCTAGCATTTTTGGATACCAAGGAAGCGTGCGATAGCGTGGTTCAAGAGGAATTGTGGGGAATACTGGACACACTAGGCGTGGAACATGTAGTCACTAATCTTTAAAAGGGTATCTATAAAGGTAACAAGGTAGATATAAAGTGGGAAAAACAGGTATCCAAGCCTGCAGAGGTAAAACGGGGGCTTAGGCAGGGGTGCCCCCTGTCACCCTTATTATTCATGATGTACCTACAAGGATTAGAGGCCAAATTAGAGGGAAGTGGACTGGGCTTCAACCTCTCTTTAGTCAAACAAGGAAAACGTATTGATCAGGCACTACCAGCATTAATTTACGCAGATGATATAGTGCTAATGGCCAACAACAAGGAATATTTGCAGAGATTGATGGACATCTGCGGCAATGAGGGAGATAGGTTAGATTTTAGATTCAGTAAGGAAAAATCAGCACTCATGATTTTCATTGACAACGAAGGTAGTGAGCTTAGAATACAGGAGGTCATGCTAGAGATAACAGATAAATACAAATATCTGGGTGTATGGATAAGCAATGGGACCGAGTACCTAAGGGAACACGAAATATACGTGACGACTAAAGGTAACAGGAGTGCAGCAGTGATGAAAAATAGGGCACTGTGGAATTACAATAGGTATGATGTTTTGAGAGGAATATGGAAAGGGGTCATGGTTCCTGGGCTGACGTTCGGCAATGCGGTCTTGTGCATGAGATCAGAAGTTCAAGCAAGATTAGAAATTAAGCAACGTGAAATAGGTAGGCTTGCTTTAGGAGCTCACGAGAATACACCAAATCAGGGAGTACAAGGTGATATGGGATGGACATCATTTGAGGGCAGGGAAATAGCAGCAAGATAAAATTTGGCAAGCGATTGAGAGAAATGGGGGAGGAGCGTTGGGCTAGGAAGATTTTCAGCTACTTGTACATGAAGAATGTCGACACAATATAGAGGAAGCGAACCAGGAAGTTGACTGGTAAATGCTTAGAAAACAGCAGGTGGCCAAACCAAAAAGAACTTTCGGAGACTGACATGCGGAGAATGGGCATGATTAAGAAGTCCGCACTAGAGATCTATTGAACTTTTAAGCAGAAAATTGTCAAGGAAAGGATCTACGACAATACTCGGGGTAGTTCTCTACTGTTTAAGGCCAGGACGGGAGTACTGCGAACCAAGGCATATCGGGCCAAATACGAAGGGGTAGACACAGTATGCAGTGCGTGTGGAGAGGAAGAAGAAACTGCCAAACACTTGATAATGTTCTGTAAAGGGCTTCACCCTATAGTTCAGGTTGATGGCGCAGAGTTTTTCAAAGCACTGGGGTTTAGGGACCAGGAGGGCAAAATAGACTTTAAGCGGGTAGACTTAACTAGAAGGAGGTTATCCGATTCGTGGCTAAAGTCAAGGCACGAGTGAAATTTAAACTCTTCACTGCAAAGTACGAATCCTCAAACTCGCTTTTTAAGGAAAAAAATATAGTTTTTGGTTCATTAAGTATTACGGCTTGGTGGCGCTAGCCACCGCCCGATTTAAAGGGTACAGCCATATCCATCCAACCAGCACGTAAACGCTATTCTAGCAAATTAAAAGGCACTGCGCCCGACGAACGTTTGTGGCACGGTAACGGTATTACCTTACAACACGCTAACGTGTGTTGTAAGTAACTGTATATTGTCGTGGTGTCACAACATTCAAATAAGGACGATTTACCAGCGAAGCAGTGTTGGCGTTTCTGTAGCTGTTGGTAGACCACCACTGTGTAGAGCATTGGATGCGTTATTCGGAGGCCGCAGGTTTTTTTTTTTGATAAATTTTCTTTTTCTTCTTTACATTTACATCATAGGTACTACAAATAGCAACCCCCACACTATTCTCGGCTTTGTTAGTTCCAACTAATGCAAGGAAGATGCATTTGAGCGCGTCGTCGTAGCATGCACCGACATACTTTCTAACTCTAGCTAAAGTTATCTGGGTCAACCAGTAGATGCGAGTGGCGCGACAATCTTCCTATTAGGGTCATGCTAACTAAAAAATGCTATCAAACAAGTCATTAAGATAACGCTAATTAATTGCACGCTGATTAGCAAAATTATAATCAAGCCGAGTCAACGTTATACTAATAATGACATAGCTAATTGTCTGCCGGCCACAAGCTCCACTGTTAGTCCAGCCTTGCACCCCTATAGTTCAAGCTCATCCTATTTTTGCTATGTCTCGTATATTACCACGGTTTTCGTATGAATATACACAATAATATATATTTGGGCATTACATGTCAACCTTTTTTGTCTCCCTTGTGGCAAGCACCTGTTTTTTCGTTTTTTTTAATGATCCCCTGGGAGCACAGGCATCAGAAAAAGGGGAGGGGGGAATAAGACAGTCAGAACAACCAGTTTCCATTACTCTGGGTGTTTTTATTCAAATTCTCGTAAACCCAAAAGAAAAAAAAATGGCTTCTCAGTGCGGCACTGCAGTCAGCACTGAATGGAACAGAGATGCATATACACAACTCCACTACTCCGAGGCATGAACAGAGAATGAGAATACTTGAGAAAAAAAAAAGGAATAGAGGGTAGACAGAAGTGATACATTGTAAAGAACAGAAAAAATCCAGGGTCACACAAACACAGATACATACGCTTTGACAGCGATAAAAATAAGCCTTTTTTCTTCTTCGATGAGCCCACGACATAACCACACAGTGGGCACGGTACAAGGGCTGAAAGGGTGGGTCTCCACCAAACGCCATGTATGCCTTTCATTCCTTACATGGGCACGAGAGAGAAACTGGCGTGACTTTGCTTGATACCCTAAAATAAGGGAGCACAATTCACACCCTGCGAGGGGGAGTAAAAAGGAGTCGAGCGCAGGGTGCAAACCAGCCGCACGCTGCTGTGTGAACACCCCCTCGAGGGTGTCAAACTACGCAACCGCATTTTTTTTCTATATATATGTTTCTAACGGGGCGCCTGTAGGCGGAGTCAGAGAAATAAGCACAGCAACAAAAGGATGGTGCAAACAGAAGCCCACCTCACGTTTTTTTCTCATTCCAGTGATGCAGCAGAGAAAAGTTTATACGTGGACAAACAATATTCTCCAAGTACAGGTGAGAAAAATAAGCTTAAAAAAACAACACCCCAAAGCAGCTCGTCAGGTTTAGAAAAAGGCAAATGCTTTTTCCTGTTACCCCTTGGGCAAGGATACTTGCTTTTAGCACAAGGGAGGTATATCTTCACAAAAAATAATGAACGTAATAAAGAAAGGCTGGCTGCTTAAGCTTCCCATCAGAAATCAAGCAAGGGGCAACTCCCGAACACTTGAAAGGTTACCACTACTCATATCTTGTGCAACACAGCAGACAATGCTGTTTTACTCAATGAGCGCCGCCACATAGTTTTTTCTAAACTTAGCAAGAGTGAAAGCAGATTAAGTGAAGAGTACTTAATTCAATCAGTGACGTTTCCATGAACACAAAGACCGATTACAATATTAAAAAGTTTAATGAAGGAGGGAGGCTATTCTAGTGTGAATTTCACTGCGACCGGTTCTACCACAATTGAACGCAAGAGGACAAATGATCCCAGTTTTGCCATTTTTGCGACATGTGTCTGACGCTATCACTACAGCGGTGTGTTTGCTATGTCGAACCTCGCAATGGTGTAGGCAAACTCGCGTTACCGATCTACTGAAACTAAGCACCTGAAAAATGTACCAATTGCATGTACGATAACAAATTTGGATATAGAACAGGAGACTGGGAACTTACTACACTGCTCGCACCGTTAAGTGATATTTCAGCCTTGCTGCCTAAATTCCAACAAAGAAGCTAGAGCTATGCCACTGAAGAAACTTAGCTTTAGGAGGACCCATGATTTTTTACTAGAGTGCCACCGTAGATCAGTATTAGCTAGTGAAGCTGACCTTGTATATGTAATCACCTCAGAAGCTGAGGTGTGCAACCAGTTCAATTTCTATGCATGTTTAATAGTGAACATGGTTATTTCTTGGCCTAAACAATACACAGACAACTAAAACTACAACAGGTCAGTAAGCAAAAAGAATAATATTGAAGTTAGCAGATCGTATAAATCTTCTTAGCTTTTGCAGAATGTGACTGCTTGCTGTTGTCCAAAAAAAAAAAAAGACATTCAAAAAAAGATACAACAGCATAACAATGAAATAATAAACCAGCACTTCTAAACAAACGGGGGTGGTAGCCGAAGCAAGGCAGTTATGCTAAATGATGGAAACAGCTACTCTAGACTTAAGAACACGCATTAAATAAAAATTGCTACTTCAAAGCTATACATACGGTTTCAATCTGAGTCAGAGATCTTTAAGACTGAAAATTACGCGGCGGCATCTTCACATAGTAGCAAAGCAAATTGAGGTTACCCCTTTAACCTCGCAGCATGGTTCCCACTCACAGGAACTTAAGCGTAAGGAGCTGCAGAAAGAAAAATAAAACAACAATACAAGTTACAGGGAGAAAAAAAAAAGAGGCCACCTTTGAGGGCCCAACTCTTCTTTTGTCTTCAGGTACAAAAATAATCGCTTTTGCACTGTATAGAAACACATAATGCTCTCCTCCAACTGCGGCCCTGGTATTTACTTTTTTTTTTTTACCCCTCTCTTATGTCTTTGCTTTTACATAACACTCACAAGTGGTAGTTTCACTTAAATGTTTTTTTTTGTGTATTTCACGCACAATTACACAGCAAGATTCACGAACACGAACGGGGAAGGCATATCCAGGACAAGAGGGGAACTTCAAGACACATGACGAGGCTCTTTTGTTGTTACTTTCCCGACGACATATATATATCTCTATGAAGTGACTATACATTCGGTATCAAGACTCAAAAAGAAGGAAGGATCGAACAAAACAGAACTGTATGTGCCGTTCCTCACTTGTTGAACATGTTTCTCGACGTACAAATGCACATGTATTTGTGTTTGCGTGCGTGTGAAGTTTTTACGTGACGAAGACTACACTGTGCTCTGCTTTACGTTTATGCGTTGTTTCCTTTACAGCTGTGTGACGGTCGGTGTGTCCATAAGGACTGCGTGTACCTCAGGGTACCACACTTCAGCGACAGTAGGATGTGTGTTCGGTATCGGTGTGTTCGGTAGCACAGACCCGTGATGCAAGTTTCAATGGCCGGCCGATACCGTGCACCCCGAACCTGAATCGCTATCTTCGGGGTATCAGAATGTATGCTGCGAACACAATGTGTTTGGAACAACCAGCACTGTTGGGCGACGACAATAATCAATCTCTTTGAAAGCACATCTCGCCAAACTCTCGAACGCTACAGACACGACTTGCATCATCACATAGGCCTTGTAAGGGTACCCACTTGATGTGCAGTGTAAGTGTAAGCACTTTTGAACAAGCTCAACAAACATTTTCTTCCCCCTCCCCCCATTATCCTGCTTCGAGATGAGCCGGAGAATGTGAAATGTGGGCTTTTTTTCAATGAGCAGCCGAATTTTTCAGCCTCAAAGCGATCGTATGCTTGACGTTCACTCGTGTGCCACGCTGAACACTACTACAGTGGGACTGAACTGTGCATAACGGTAGCTGCTCCTTGTTTTTCATCTTGAAAGTTTAGCATCAAAAATAGTAGTCCACAGCACGTTTCGTATGTGTACCTAGCATGTTCTAAATGGCCCTCGCCACAATAAAGCTCCGTACTGCGCCATCCTTCATGTTCGGCCTTGTCAGATTGCGCAAGAACAGCTTGACCAGAAAGTGATCGGACATGTTGCAACAAGCATTCGTCTCTGTACTTGCAAAAATGAACTGAGAAGAAAGAAAAAAAAAAACTGATCACAACATGAAAAAAAAATGCTCGAGTAATGTACTCTATGTTGAGTACCTTCAAGTCGCGTTACAAATGATGTCATTTTTTTTTTTTGAAAGAAGCGACCGCCACAAATCGAGAAAAATTAATGGAACAGCATTTTTTGGGACAAACCCGAGCACAAAAGCATAAAGACGGCACGCCGAACCTACACTTAAAGCTAATAAATTAATTTAACACTGATGCGAGGGGGGACGACAGTACGACTCGGGAGAGAGTTGAGACCGACAAGCCACAGTTAAGACCGACAAGGTTCTTTTTTTTTTTTCTTTCACGAAACTGGGGTTTTTCATCACCACGTTACAGTAAAGGGCCCGTCCTCACGAGAAACAGTCGGGGGCCCAGACAACGAACAAAGATGGTGAACTGGACACGTCACACGAAAAAATGGTCAAATACTTTTCTTTGCCCCAGCTTCATGTGTGGGGTCTGCGTCAGGACACGTTCGCATAAAACGGCGACATTGATGTCTCTCACCTTTCCTTTTTGGTTTCTGGTGTCTAACGCATTTGGCACAAATATATATATACTTCTTGCACATTTGTTGGGGAACCAGACATGGCGCAACAGAAGTGGTGATATTGTGTCCTGTTGTCAAGGGGTCTCCATATGCAGAGCAGGAGACGCGTTTCTGTTTTTCTGCTCATTACACCCCGTTCATTGTATGGTACAGTAGACTGACACTGCCGAGGTTATCCTTAGGGACATCGTGGCATGGTAAAAAAAAAGCGCGCTACCAGGCATGCCCGCGCTTCACGTCTAGAGCCAAATATTTACCGAGTCAAGCCGATCTCAAATACTAGTCATCTGTTAAGCCAGCAGCACGAATCGGACCAACGAGGCTCTAGGGAAAAACTGTCCAGTAATTATCAATTGACTCCCGAACCTTGTACACCCCACTAGCTGCAATTTCGACGAGAGACAAATCGGCATTAACCACGTGTGCTCGCACGATTTTTTTTCATGTGAGGAGACTCACGGTGCACTCATGGACACTCACAACATTTGTGATGGAAAAGACACGAGACGCAGCACTGGACATGACATCTATAGCTGACGAAATTGCACCCTAAGGGGTGTACATTGATCACATAACTTTTTTGTGAAGTATACCCTTTGCACACCTTAAAGGGAGTACTAAGAAGGAAGGTGACTAAATTCTTTGAAGGTGTGCTCCCCAACGAGAGTACCCCGAAGCAAAGCAATGAATATGCTATGCCTGTACATGTTGCCCCTTAGTACCACTGTGCAACCAGTTTTTTTTCACGTAGGTGGAAAATGTCATTTGCCAACTGTGTTCAGTAAATAACCACAAAGCCCACACCTTTTGACGAAGCAGCCGCATGTTTAGCAAAGAGTGACTTCCACTTTCATGTTATAATGGTACGCAGCAGTAGGAGTATCATCACCGAGTGTGTGCTCAGCCTTTGAAGGATACATCATGACCTACCTGTGAAGCAGTTCAATCGAATCAAATTTCTCACTTTCAGGTGGAGACTTGAAAAACAGGCCGACTTGCTAACGCGGAACGACACAACTGAGTGAACCCCAGGAAGAGAAGTTTCTTTTCTGTCCAAACGATCAATTCTAATAAGCAAGAGATAAAGTTGGCGTTCCACATTCGTGTGTTGGTCCACGCATGCCGGTGATGCTGGCAAAGCACTGACAGCAGGCAGGATTTTGGCTACATGGTCAAGGACACTGTCAAGGTTACACTGTCAAGGCTACACTGTCAAGGCTACACTGTCAAGAATATAACACCACGTGTGGTGCAGCCAAACTTCACGGACATTACCGCCACCTCGTCAGATTACCTTACTTTTCGATTAAATTGCACTATAGGCTGCTTTTCCAGCAATTTAGTGCTTAAAGGTGCGGAATCATTACTTCCTCAAAAGAAGGTGCAAATATGGTTGTCACGCAGTAGACATGCACCAGAAAGAGTGTAAGATCTTTGACAGTAAGCATTGAAAAGAATTAACGCTAGTGTAGTGAGACTCCAGAACAGTCTAGACGCATTGATCCCTTAGCAAGCCATTGCAGACTATGAGAGTTGTAGCAGATGACAAGGCAGAAATCAATCTTCAGGCAACGTGCTGTAGTTCAATTGATGAAGCAAAAACAAAACATTACATGTGTGCAGATCTTGCACATAAGCGAAGTGAACCGAGAGCCATTAAGAAAGTTGATGACATTACAAAAGCATTATTAGCCGGACAGCATTCCAGTAAGAACAGTCGTCAAGCACGTTCACGGCTAACTGCACTGCAAAAGCATGTCAAACCGCAGACTTAGTGATAATAATTATTCTCTTATCTTGACAAAAACAAGACAAAACAAAAAAAAAAAAACAGAAACCTATAAACTTCAGTCTGCCCACATTATACATGTGCACTGATACCATGGTACACTTCAATTGCCAGTCTGCCATGAGCGCGAGAAAATGCCTCGGGCACACAACGAAAAAAGTGCATTTTTTGGCTTTGCTGACATAAAAAATGCAATGTAAATTTCTAAAGGAATCTTCCACATAGAAAGGAGCATTTAGAGCCTCTGTAATGGCACAAAAATGTGAACAACAGAACAAATAAAAATCCATGCGCTGATGTGCTCATGCAGTCAAATTTTGTCGGACAACAAACCATATACTTCTGACAAACACCGAAAAGCAAAAAGATATACAACGTGAAAAAAAAAACAACAAAAAAAACAGAGAAATGTGGTAGGAAGAAATTGCAACTGGCCAAGACAAGTATCGAACAAGATATAATACGAAAAAAACTCTTATGTTACACCACTACTAAGGGTTACCATTATGCATACCCTGACTGAGAATGTGAAAAAAAGGGAGGTACAGTACACACCTGATACACTTGAAAACAAAACAAAAGATTGCAACCACAATCTATACCGGAACAAAAAAATATGCTCGACAAAAAAAACCTACAGTGCAATCAATTGACAAGAGTCAACGCAAAAAATATGAAAGGAAACAGAAATGTCAAGCACAAAAAGAAACATGATTACACGACACCAACCACGTGAGAAGGAAAAAGACAAACTAAAACTTGTTTTAGTTAACCGTCACGTGCCACAAACACCACCACACGTGTATCAAATAAACCTTGTAATCCATATATCAAGACAACCACACACCATAGAAAAAAGATAAAGACAACAAAATTTGGAAACGCTTTTTGTCAAACAACACAGCTTGGCTGGACACCTTATCGAGGCAAAGCGAAAAAAAAAGAAACACACTAAAGGGGGAAACACACTAAAGGGGGAAACACATCTGCCGCGTGTTGTCTGCTGCAAGCGTTCCATTTTTTTTTCATCCGTCTTTGTAGTAGATGTCCTAGACTCTACTTGGACACACACCACACCACCCCAATGACTTTGTCAAATGCGACATTGAAAACCAAACAAGACGTTCATGACACCTTCGGAACTGCACACATTGAGACGATTCCTCTCTTTGTTTTCCCGCAGGTCCCAAGACATACTTCTCGGGAAAAAAAAGGACACCGACGGCAACTACAACATATATTAGTACACCGCCGTTCACACTTCACACGATTTTTTTTAACACCGCTTTCACAAGAACGAACAATGAAAAGTCTCACCCTGAAGTCATTCCCGGCAACGAAGAGCTGCGACGGAAGCTGTTTTCTTTTTAAACACACACGATACGCACGCTCACCCAAAGACAACACGGACCAATAACAGTGGCAGCCATGTGCACTGACACTGCGCAGACCGACAGAACCCACGAAGTGGTCCATGATTTGGCGCCTGGCAAGAAATAATGATAATAAGCAGCAGTCTGCACCAAAAGTACGTAGAACGTGAAGCACGTAAATGGATTCCTCACTAAATTCTGTACCTTGCTGAATTACGCTGTAGGGCACTGAGTAGCTCCAGAGAATTCCACCGCAGTTTATGCAAACTCTCAATCTATTTTTGGTGCGGCATGGCATGGTACCATGCCATGCCATGCTACCTTGCCATGCATGGCTACTCTGGCTGAAGCATGTTTTGCATTATCTCGTGGTGTGGAATAGACATTTGAATGTGAACGTGACGCCGGGTTTAATCAAAGAAAAACTCCACATTGTGCTCCCTTTGCAGCTGGCGAAATCATGAGAAGCTGAGGAAAAACTTTGCTGAAGTCGTCAGTCCGGGCATCTGCAGGAGCCCGTCTGGAAGTGCCAGTAAAGATTCCATTTACGTGTTTCCGTTTACCTGCCCAGAAAACGCGTTAGGCAAAACTGCGCAGACAGCGCAGAAGCGAACGTCCGATATGCTACCAATATTCGGTAGTAAATGGCAGCCAGTAATATAAATAAATTTTTACCCGAGCCAAACCATAATGACCCAGACCACTCCGTGGGCGACTTACTTCGGGCAGTTGGTCCAGTTTCAACACAAACACAGCTCTCTAGACTTCAACCAGAAGCTCTCGAATCTCGTGATGAGGTATGCAAGCATCATCGTACAGCTATGAGTACAACGCAGGCTGTTAGACAAAATGGCAATACATGTTCATCAACCAATTTCTTTTCTCTCTCCTGCGAAACTCTAGATCAATAGTTGCGCGGATGTGGTTTGCCATTGTGCTTCTTTTGTGGTTCGTTGTTCGCTTAGAGCGGAGCAGCCAAACTTCAATGAGCTTGTAAAAAAAAAAACACAAGAACAATGCCTGCCACTCGCCTACCTGCACTATGTGGGACAAATCGACACTACAAACAGAGCAGGACAACGCATAACTTGTCATACCCATTCCGGCTGGGCCGCCGGGTTACACTGAACTTTGAAAGGACCAAATGCCGAAGGAAGCTTTCCTGTAGGTCTCTGCAAGACCGAGAACAAGACCTAGCTCGACAAAGCGATATAAACAGAAAATTAAATTAAAAAATTAACCGAAAAAAATAGAAAGGCGGCGAAAAAGGGTGTGATATCGCTCTCATTTCTTCTCGTTTTCTCAGTTGTGAGAACGATGACAAGAAGGTGTTGACGAGAAATCGCATATGTCTGAAGAAACATGACAAATAGGAAGTGAACACCGACATGCCACAGCACTACACAATGCACGCTCCTCTGTCTCGGAAGAGTTCTTTGCCTCGGCATCTCACTCACCCATCTGCTCTTCGTGGGGCGAAAAAGAGACGCGTCGCGCGTTTCACATTGTGTCGTTGTGGCACCACGGACAAAATGAAGATAGGTAAAGAAAAAAAAAAGGAGAGAGAAGCACAAAAAACTGGCGACAGTCTCGTGGTTGTCTTTTTTTCTTTCCTGCTTTTCACTCTCGGCCTGCTGCCACATTTCTTTCTCTTCCTTCTCCTTCCTTTTTGGCTTTTTTTGGAATCCGTTTTAACGCTCGCTGCGTCATTAAAAAAAAAGAAAGTCTGCCAGAGGCCCCACGCACACAGGTTGGGGTTACGAGAAGGGTGGAGAGGGCGAATGTGTAGCCGTCGTAGTGCTGGCGTGCGTCGCGCATGTGCAGGCTTAAGCGCAGGACTGCTCACGTGACACAGGACAGGAGACAATGAACGTTCTAGAAGAGAACCAGAGGAACGGGAGAAAGAGAGATGAAAGCCGTCGGGGAAAGGAAGTGGGGAGAGGAAAAAAAAACAAAGCAAAGCATAACCGTTAGGGAGCACCCCACAAACACGGGAATGACACATATAGAAAGGGGGGTCAATGAAGCAGAGGTGAGCAGACACTCTGACTGAAATGAATTTCGTGAAAATCGTGAAGGCGGAGCCACGTTGAACAAACACCTCGTGCCATTGTGGCACGAAGTGAGAGAGCGATGCATGCATTTTGGAAAGAAGGGTTCCCAGTGGTGAAAGGGCCCGTGCAGCTGACCTATTTAGAACATTCTTAATTTAGAATATTCTAAACATTTGGTTGAAACAGGCACCCACATGCTCTGTACGTTATTAGGTTCCAGCATTTTACATATGCTATGCAAATACAATAAAACCTCATTAATTCAAACTCAGTTATTTCAAGATCCCGCTTAATTCGAAGGATTTCTGTGGTCCCGCATTTTCGAATCTAAGTTATAGTGGATAATTTGAAGTGGCGGCCGGCACCAGCCCCGTTAATCGAAAACTTTGGGTGCCATGTGCCAGTTCCAGATCCCAATTTCGCTGCGAATCCGCGGAAAACGACGGCCATTAATTGCCACAAGGCAATGCAACGTATCGATATTAATGAGTGGCAGCTGGAACCCTTGTCTCGCTACTTCTAGAGCAAAAAAGAAAGAAGAAAAAACGGTCTCGTGGTCAACCAAAATGTGCACCTGTGGAAAATGAGCCATGCTTCACTGCAACACAGCGGTGACACGCGGGTAGCTTATTTCATGTTTCTCGCTATGTCAGCGGGTGATGGTTTACCAATTCTTTCTGGGATTGTAAGGAAATTAATAAAAAACAATTTAGCGGAAATTTCAATGTATGCGAACCTCCGACTCCCTGCTGCTCCAACAATTAGCTTCTTTGCACTGCTGGCGGAGTTCTTGCCAGCAACACCTGCTTAGAAAACCAAGTTCGAAAGTTTAATGATCATTTTTTCCAGCCAAAACACATCGTGAGCTTCATCATACTGGCCATTATTAAATTCATAATCATAATAGAAAGGATATGCGAATGGTTGGATCATGACGTGCTGACGCAGCGAGGAGCAAGGATGGATGGATGGATGGATATGGCTGTACCCTTTCGATCGGGCGGTGGCTAGCGCCACCAAGCCGTAATACTTAATGAACCAAAAACTAGATTTTTTTTTTTCCTTTAAATAGTGAGGTTGAGGATTCGTACTTTGCAGTGAAGGGTTTAATTTTCACTCGTGCCTTGACTTTAGCCACCAGTCAGATAACCTCTTTCTAGTTAATTCTACCTGCTTAAAGTCTATTTTGCCCTCCCTGTCCCTAAACCCCAGTGCTTTGAAAAACTCTGCGCCATCATCCTGAACTATAGAGAACTATAAGCGACATGCTGCCCGCGCGTCTCTGCTGTGTTGCAGTGAAGATGTCCTGCTTTCTGCAGGCGCACATTTCAATCCATCATGAGCGAGTTCTTTTTTTTTTTCTTTTCGGTGGCAGCAGCGAGGCCCACCATTCCTCCATGTTCGCGGAATAATAAAGACCAGGTATTGCTGAAAAACATAACCTTTGGAGCTGCACGCTAGCCGGCACAGCAAATGACGAGCACCGATTAGTTTGAATAGTTCCAAGTTTTTTGCATCCCACTTTTTGTATGTTCTGTTCATTCAAAAACTCACTTAATTCGAAGCTTCACTGTACTTATCATGCGACAAGATTAACATACACAGAATAGCACTTGGAACCAAACGTGAATGCTGGCAATATTAATTGTCGGGGTTTGACGCCACAAAACCACGATACGATTTTGGGGGATCCCACAGTGGAGGGTTCCAGATATTACGACCGATTGGGGACTCTTTACCACGCACTAAGCCGAGGTACATGACCCTCAAAGTTTCCACCTCCGTCAAAAATGCAGCCCACGACAACCGAGATTCAATCCCGCAACCTTTGGATCGGCAGTTGAGCCCCATAACCACTGGATTACCACGGCCGATCCAAACGTACATGCAGCATGTACAAGATAAAGAAACAGCAGTGCATATGTTTCAGACATAATGTACCTGCAGATTATATAGGCCATGTTAGCTACCTTCTACAGCAAGCTTATTATATGAACAATACCAATTAAAACAAAATGTAATTTCACTGAGTACGTCAAGAAAACGCAGGGCACATGCTGTGTACCTTAATTGTTCCTGCAGTTTACATAAGCCACGTTAACGGACATGCAAGGAAAATGCAAGGCTGCAACAGTCATACTACAAGAGAGTGATCATTCAAGACATATGCTCACCTCTGCTTCTGACCAACACAGTCACTAAAAACATTGGGTATTGCACAAAAAAAAAGGAAGACCACACACAGTGCCCTTTGGCACTTTTAAAGACACAAAATATGGGCACTGTGGTAACACGTAACGAAATAGGCACAAAACATATTACTGGTGCTATCACCCACACTGAAACAGTAGCACCTATGACAAGCAAACGATTTTCGAAGTATTTTAGATGTGGCATCACAAAAACCTCAACTGTATGCTCAATAGTTTGTTACAAAAATACAATAATGCTAGATAAAACGTTGTAGCTTGCATGGTCATGAAAGTGGACACGAAACGGTGTGCAATTTTTACCACAAAAAATGGTAGCTTACCCCGACATGTTAAAGAATGCATCAAATTTCAGGCACGACCACATGTGAAAATACTTTGAGAACACGTTTGCTGCTGTGCTTTTTATTTTTTCGGTGCATGCTTACCGTGTTGAAGCTCCACATTTAAGCACTAGCTGACACCACCAACACTAATGTACTTTTTGTATAGCTACGCCAGATGGCCACTGAAAAGCTGCACACCACTGCTTGCATTGCCGCATAGGTGTGGCAGGCCGCAATCAAATTCTGGCATCTTCTGCGACACATACACAACAAATATCCCGACAGCAAGAGGGTTCATCTGTAACAGTGAGGGATGGCGCTCTTTATCAGCGCTAGTAGAATCCAGGATCATTAAGCATTTTATTAACTACAGAGGGTGAGTTTGTCCGCAAACATCCCGCTTTCTATCACTTTCCGTATGAACCATCTCGCCGCCATCTTGCCTTTCTGATTGCACATCTCCAGGTGGGCAGTGTTCCGATAGCGAAACGTTTGCACACTCCCAAACTCAAACGTAGCATAAACAGTTTGCCAATGATGCACCCGAATATGTCATACACTCAGACTTCATTAAAACGAAGCTGCATGTTACAGAAAAACAACTTCGTTATATTAAAAAATTTGCTGGCATTTTGTATTGCAACCATGTGCGTTATTCATTGTAGATTAGGCAAATAGCTGCATTCATTGCTTGAAATAATGTTTAGCATTGTGAATGCCTTGAAGTGGCAGTAAACAAAACTTACCACTAACTTACATGTGTCTCCCTTCACAAGAGTGAAATGGTACAGTATTCCTTAAATGGACAATAAAGAGGAACGGTAGCATTGGCTGGATTGATTTTCAGAGCACCATAAACATTTCTCTTAAACACAGTGTGTAAAGGCTTCACCGCAGAATCTCGATGATACGAATTTGAAGGGCGCACGCAAAATATTCATACTATCCCCGATTCGTATGAACCAAAAACAAGTTAAAGCTGCTCATGAAGATAAACACGAACTTTATTGGGGTCAACTACTTCTAGCTGAAAAAACGACCATGATGTTCTTTTGAACGTTCCTGCCTTCACCGCCTCTCAATTAAGTGCCACGGTTTCCTCACTCATGCTGCTGGCACTCAAGGCGTGTTCACACTTGGCATTGAAGGAAGCGAAAGAGGCAAAACTTATTGGGAATTCACACACAAAAAAAACTCAGTCCTGGAAAATTCACACTACAGCATTCGAGCGTGAATGGAAGAGCAGCCGCAAAACCACACTTTGCACCAGTCGCGAAAAAAATTCTGCTCCTAGTATGCATGCCCACCGCTGCCACCTTCGCCGCATGTGAATTGATTCCATTTTGTTTCCTGAGCATTAAAAGTCATACAGAGTTTCAGTTATGCATGAAAAGCACAGAAAAGAAACAGTTTACATCTGTAAAAACATTGTTTTAAGAGACAGGGCAGAAAAGTGACACGAGCGGACCGCGACAGCAGAAGCGGCGACGGATTAAGCCTGCAGTGCAAAAACTAGACACGTTGGGCATGCCAACTCGCTGCTGCTTCACCGTCTTCTACTTCCGGTGTCCACAACGATCGTAATCCAAACCAGGCTCCGGATAAAGGCGTCGTTATCAAGGCCGTGAGGACACACTTGTCCTAGCTGTGTGGGTAGTTTGCGGCTTCATCGGCGCGATCCACCACTGACGCCTTTGCCACCATGTTGAATTTGCGGCTGGTTAACTACATCACGTGGTTTGAGAGCTAGTGCAGCTGGTGTGGCCAAAGCAGTCAAACAAAATGGCGATCTATTTTGGCATGGCAGAGAAGTAGGTCCCGAACTGATTTTTTCGCACTGGCCTCGGGGGCCTGGCTTTCCCGCCACTTGGGCGGAAAAGCGAGAAAAATTCCACGAAGTTTTTGCCGCATTTGCTTCCTTCAAGGTCAAATGTGCAGTGATGAATCGCGCGTTCGTATCATCTGCAGTGGCTGGGGAAACCGCTCGTATAATACCAAATAACGGCGTATTTTATGTAACGTAGTCCATCCAAAGCAACCTTGAAATTCGTATCATGGAGAAATTTGCATCAACCATTATCCTCTCATCGAGATTCTACTGTAATTATTAGGTTTTTTTTTTACAAACTGAGCTAGTTGTGTAAATTCTTCAAATCAACAGCAGGCCATTTTATGCACGACGCATAATGAGTTCAGTTTATAATAAAATTTAGAAATCCAGCTGCTGCATTGAGTTGGGATTGTGGCACTGTTTTCGGGTGCCACATGCGCGGCTCATAAGTACTATAATGTGTTCTGCACCCTGATCCACACTGTAATTTGTACTGTGATCTGTGCCATGATCCGTACTGTGACCTGCACCCTGATCCATAATGGAACCTGTATGTTGGTCTGCGCTGTGACCTGTACCCTGACCCATACTGTGCCCTGTACTGTGAGCTGTGATATGACCTGTGCTGCGACCTGTACCATACCATCACTTGTAAATGGTACCAGAGGGGAAAAGGCAAGAAGCTAGGTTTGTGGCAGCATCTGGAGTGTGGAAGTCAACCAGACACACACCAAATCTCCTCTGCAATTTCGCGCATGCCGGCAAGATAATGTGGAAGAAAAAACTTAGCCTTGACCACTCAAAAAACAAGTCGAGCAGCGACTGCATAGCTTAGGAGTAGAGTTACTTTTAAGTGACAATAAAAGCCTTGATAAAGGTGCTTTGCTTAAAGTTATGGTGTGAAGTCTACACTAGCAGTAGCCCAACAACAGCTTACATAACAACAACAACAAAGAAAGACAGCAGCGATGATCCTTTTCATGTTAGAAATATCTCTCTGTGTAAAAATAAACTAAAAGAAAAACAAACACGCTTTACATTCCTGATCTAGCGTATCAATACTATTGCGACAGTTTTGCCTGTGCCTCAAGGTGTGTATAGATGTGCTGCTTAAGGCTTGGATTGCTTAAGAATACACAACTAGGTTTAATGTAGCTGCCATAAATTCTTTTCAACAAAATGATAAAGCTTCCTAGATGGAAATCATTTTTCATTATCTTCATTCAGTCAGGCAGCTCCGAGTGATTATTGTAAATACAGTCGAACCCCATCACAACGAAACTGACAGGACGCGGAAAAAATTTAATCGAAGCGAAAATTTCGTTGTAGTGAAATCGAAAAAAATATAGCTGATCTGAGCTAGCAAAACAAAGGAACATTTATTTTCCAAATTGAAAAAAATGCCCGCTGCTTTTTATTCTTTCCCAGCAGTGTTACGACACGATTCTCACCCATGCATAGCGAGGCCATGGTGAAAAGCACGCTGAAACAACGCCTAAAACCGCTTTCGTGACCGAACCAAACAGTTGCATCAACACGTTAACACCAGCAGCTGTGTGCCGTTAAAAGTATCAGACAATGCCGAGATGGAGGCAGGGTATTGTGGAGCGGCGACTCTGCATTATTCTATGTCATTCTTATCATCTATCACTCGCTGCTAGCTGATTTTGTTTATAATGCGGACTAACAGGTGCTCTAATTAGTTACCACACTGGCCAAGCACGAACATAATGATAAGCATCGGAATTGGAAACGCATCGTTCCACTGTTGCATCCAGAAGCTGCGAGAAAGAAACCATGAGCTGAGCAACTGAGCTTCAGCTTCAGATCGTCTGCGGCTCAAAAGCAAGGCAGCAGGGCAGTCTTATTGCCATCGCTATTGAGCAATGGCGGCACCCATGCTTGCTGAACAGCGGCAGTTTCTGGTGGTGCCAACGCGTGTTTTAGACTTCGTTGACGCATTTTCAGGCTCTGAAAATGCACCGAAATGTTAAAGACTGGATTTACTGCATAGCAATAAGTATCTGAGCCTGGCATTCCATCACGAAATTTCGCTGAAGCGGGACGACTGAATAAAAAGTGTTCGTTGTGGCGATAATATTTATGCATTGACTTCTATGGACTGCTGACAGAGAATCGTGAATTTTTCGTAGTAGCGGAAATTTCGTTGAAGCGACGTTCATTGTAGCGGAGTTCGACTGTAATAATAAATTGTTTTATCCAGCTTTGTTATACTTGGGTGTCCCTAGATTATGGCGTATCGGCTATGCATACTGCTTTGCTTGAATTATTTTGCAACAACCAATTGGAAGTCAACTATGTACACTATAGCAAACGGCCGCCTCTGCCTTGGTTGGTTTTATGTTTAGGTGCTATGCTTTCTCAGAAACTTCTGTCAAATGGCATGCCTGTCAAATAGGATGCACTTTGCCAGCCCCTTCAGTTTATACTGAAAGAGTTTACTCTACATAAGACAACCGATTTCCTTCCCTTTGTCTTCATATGGTCCTTCTTCAGCCAGCTTTTTTACAAACAAATTGTGCAATTGTGAGAGAAATAAAGGCGAGGGAAGGATAAAGAAGAGAGACTTACCCAACGAGAGGAAGGATAGAGAGAGAATGAGGAGGTAAAAGGGGAGAAGGAGGAGACACTTACCCAGGCATTTCCTGGGTGTCCGCCTCAAGTCAAGAGGGGTGGAGGGGGAGGTCATAGTCTCAGTAGGGCTTGCTGGCGTCTTTCGACCGCTTGAGCTGCACTTTGAGTCGCTTGGTGCCGATCTGGAAGCCGTTCATCGCCTGAATGGCCGCCTGCGCGCTTAGCGAGTTGTCGTAGCTCACAAAACCTGCGAGAGAATGGGAGAGGAGGGAAATGACGGTGCCGAAAGAGGCGTCACGCTGCTCGGTCGTTCTGTGTGGTCTGGGATGCCACCTTGAAAGTGCCCACTTTTAGATAAGATATGGGTGTGAGTTGGTAAGACGTGCAAATATTCGTTGTCCTTCCATGTTCCTTATCGGGTCGCTGCACATGCCGTGACGAGAAAAGGGTACAACACTCTTAGTTGAGGCAAGCTTGAGAATTCGGGTAGCCCAAGTCTCTGGTTGACAATGATGAAAAACGGTTGATAAAGTTATTACTGACGTTACTGAGAGTTGGTCTAAAGTGACAATAGCATAGAAATACTGATATTACTACATCAGTTGTGCGGGTGACACAAAGCGCTTGAATTTACACGTTCTTGTGCACAGTGCACAGCTCGAGAAATCCATGAAAATGTCCCCAAGATTATGCTGCAATGCTCAATGCCCCGTAAGTCAGGTAATCTTGCACCATTGATAGTCAACCATCAACAACCTCATCGATATCAGTCTAGAAGTGGCAACATCAATTGTTTTTGTACTACTGGTTGTTTGAAAATGACTTGCCCAGCAATAGCATTAATTGTACTCTTGGCTGTTTTGCATTACTGCTGGTAGGAAAAACCGAAAGAAAATGTTTGCGAGTGGGCACTCAAAGAACTTTTAAAAAAACAAATAACGACTGTATTATTCTCTCCCCGCACTTCGCGTCTTTGCATCACCACTCATGATGCCAGCTGATTGTTGACGCGAGGTCACAAGGAACTAAGCTGTTGATTGGTCCATATACGGGGGACATCAGCTGCGAATTGTCTCCCACCCTGCTTTGCCATGCCCATTCTGCCTTGTCTCGTATGACTATTTTGCAAGATCAACTTATTTCACTTTCAATATGCATTTTGGACAGTGCAAGCCGAAATAACAGCATGTACACGAAGATACCCAGAGGTTCAAATCTTAGCGCTGACTTTGTCCATGTGTTTTATGAAGAATTAAGTGATTAAAAGGAAGAGAGTGCATGTAAAATTGGTTGTGAAGCCGAGAAAAAAACCACTCTCTCGTCTTTTGAGCTCAGAGTGGTTTAGGGAGCCTTTAAAGGGACACAAAAGAGCAAAATGATTTTTGTTCTAGTACAGTATAACCTCATTACAATTCATCTGCTTACAACACACATTCGGATACTAAATACCAATTGGCTTTGTTATGCCGACCTCCCTATTCGTTTCATTGATTCAGCTTTGGTTACAATGAATTCCGGAACAACAGACATTAAGGTATAATTGGCTAAAATATGAGGCCGGCAAGGCGGTCAGGACTCCCTTACAGCGGACTTTTTCCACGCAGACACCACAAATTCAATCACTCCCCAACTTCAAAGTTCACTTGCCATACTTTCAGGACGGGAACAGCAGGCCACGGATATCGTCGTACTGATTTAAGCAAGAAAGCTGCCGTTATCAGGTCTAGTCAGTGCCTAGCTACGGCAACGAAAATCAGCGTGCAGCATCCTTTGTGTTCTGGGACGCTGACGCAGAGAGCTGCTGCTACTGCTCTCCTCCGATCGGTCTCTGCGTGATGAGCTTGGCCTGCTGCCTATGTGCGAAACACCCATCTGCGATTCTAAGGAGCCAGCGGGCAATGCAATCCTTCGCTTTCGAGGAAGCACATTACGGCTTTACCGAAGCACATTACCACTAATTTCGGAGCAAGTTAGGCCTAGCCACGATTTCGAGCAGAAAGCTCGGTTGCGATATGCGTGACAGCGGTGCCCGTTGTTTCAAAGTGCGTCATGCTCCATCGTGAGTGTAAGGAGTTGTTGCAAGGTGGTATTTGTCGCACGGTCCGAAGTGCTCATCAGCAGACCCTCTTACAGCGGGGCTAACGGGAAAACGCTATTCCAGCACTCGTTGAAGAGCGCGTCTGCGATGTTCCCGATGAGTGTGCGTGGTATCGCGATTTGATAACTGAACGGCTGAGCTTTCACTTGCAGCTGCGACCCGTGAACACAAAACGAGTGTGAAAGCGTCACTAAGTAGCTCGATTTTTTATGGTTGTGTTTTTTAGGAGCTACAACTCCTTGAAGAACATAGCTTTCTTTTTTTCATCTTCTGCAATTGTTTATGTAACCTCGGCCGGCACAACAATGTTTTACAGCACTTCAACGTAGTTTTGAGTATGAAAATATTTTAGTAGCAGATGATAAAAGGCTACCAAAACTGTCAAGTGCTGAAATTCCAGAGCAAAATTTAAAAACAAAGCTTCAAACTTGTCTTTCTTCACTAATAATGTACTTATGAACGTGAATTACGTGGCATTAGAGTTCTCCAAGCACAGTTGGTCGATCTAAACCAAGTCATTGCTTCTCTTTAGTGTACTTTTAAGGCCAATTTAATAAATCCACACAGTGTTATGGAGACCTGTTCTAATGCTCTCCGATTCCTATACTTTTTGTCATAGCCAAAGTGATCGACACATGCAAACTACATTAACACCTGCAGTCAATTAAGTGAGGGTTGCCATGTGGACGACTCACCAAAGCACTTGCTGAGGTTGGTCTGCTTGTCGATGAACACCTTGGCGGAGATGACGTTGCCGAAGGGCATGAAGGTTTGCGCCAAGTCACTGTCGGTGAACTCTTGAGGCAGGTGGTAGATGAAGAGGTTGGCCCCCTCGGGACCTGCGTACGAGGCAGCCGCGAAGAAGCACTCTGCCACTTCGTCAACACAGCCGCTCTCACCCGCATCCACCGCACACTTTTCAAGCATCACAACACGAGCACACAGATGCACGCGAGCTCCACATTTGCGCAGACAGTCGCACTGAGATCTTAAAGCAAAGTCAGCAAGCGAACACGGTAGGCACTAGTTAAACAGAACCTGGAGGAACCAGGAAAATTTGTTCTGTTCAAAAGGAGTTCCATTTTAAGCAGGGTTCTGTTTAAGAAATAAGCAGGGTTCTGTTTAAGAAATATTCATTCAGTGAGAGTCTACTGTACTTGTGTTCCTTCAACGGTAGATGAATGTGATCTTGCACCTATGAGTGCGCAGAATAGCCGAATGTCATAAGCCAGCCATTTCTTCAATTGTGGAGGCAACTGCCAGTTGTATTTCAGTCATCCGGGATGTCCCAACTTGTAACCTTTTTAAATGGACACTAAAGTCAAATAATTTACGTGAGAGTGAAAGCTCAATGTACGACAACCTTTAAAACGACAATATTATCACCAGCAGTACCCTACTTACCGAGATATTAAGGTAAATACACGTGAACACATGCCCTATGATAGGACATTCTCAAAATGATCCCGATGACGTCAGATAAACCGCCTACAATCACTAGTAATCGAACAAGCTGCACTAAATGAAGAACCTTCCGTGCATCAAGAGACGCAATAAAATGCTGCCTAGTCGTTTGTTTGATTCATGGAAAAAAGAACCGCCGGACGTTACTATGGGGAATGGCGCAAGCGATTAGAAAATTTGAAATACAACGGTTCAGCTGACGCTCTATTCAAGCCACAGCAAGATGGCGCCGATGATGAAGAGGAACGGGCCAAAGACTGATGATAGTTATTGACAGATGAGGAGGATGACGTCCAATGAATTCTTACACTAATTTTTCCCGTCGACGGAAGCGGCCAGCCTGGCCGCGAATTACTCTGTGGAACGCATACAATAGGGCTTGAGATGCCAAACGTGCACAATCTCTGTCCCGCGGCAGCGTTGGTCAGTGCGGACATGAACAGGTGTGACACGGTAGTTCCCCGGTGAGGTCTGTTCGATAACATTGTAGGGGCCAAGATAGCGTGACTCAAACTTTTCGCATAAGCCAGGCGTTCGCGCAGGAGTCCACAGAAGTACATCGTCGCCAGGGCGGTAGAGAAGGGCGCGGTGAGTGGCATCGTAACGATGTTTGCGATCTTCTTGGCTAGCTTCGGTGTTTACACGGGCAAGACGGCGGCATCGAGCAACACTGGACAGAAACTGGTCGCAAACGAATGGTGAAGAGTTGACAGGGTCAGAAAAGAACGAAACGTCGAGTGGTGATGTCGGTTGGCGTCCGTATACTAGGAAAAATGGAGAATAGCCTGTGGTTCGTTGAACTGACGTATTATATGCAAACGTGACAAAGGGAAGAATGACATCCCAATTGCAATGGTCCGATCGGATATACATGGACAGCGTGTCGCACAGCACACGATGAAATCTTTCCGTTAAGCCATTGGTTTGCGGGTGATAGCTAGATGTTTTATGAACTGTTTTTGATGCTTGAAGAACTTCACTGAACGTGCTTGAAAGAAATTCCTTGCCCCGGTCACTAAAAAGAACACGAGAAGCTCCATGACGTAGGTAAATAGCATTCAAGAAGAAAGTTGCTACTTCCGAAGCAGTTCCTGAAGTGATCGAGACCGTCTCAGCGTACCGGGTCAAGTTATCAACTGCGGTGACGATCCATCTCTTGCCGTCTGATCTAGTTGGGAGGGGCCCGAAGAGGTCAATTCCGATGACAGAGAACGGCTCTGATGGACAAGGAAGTGGTTGTAGGGCCCCGACTGGAGCAGTTGTGGGCCGCTTGCGGTGTTGGCAAAGGGCGCAAGAGGCAATATATTTAGATACTGTCGTGGAAAGACCTGGCCAGAAGAGTCGAATGCGGATGCCCTCGTATGTTTTGTAGTAACCCAAGTGTCCCGACGTCGGGTCGTCGTGGGAAGCGCGCAGAACTTCAGTGCGTAGTGCACATGGTACGACGGGAACCCATCGGTGGCCTTCCGGGTGGAAAATGTATCGATATAGCACATCGTCCTCTAACTTGAATAGTCAGAGTTGTTTCCGGAGCCTGGCATTAGGGGAAGATGAAGCGCCGGTAAGCCGACCGATGATGACAGCGCAATGAGAATCGGCTCGCTGGTGACGGTACTGACGGATGGGTGGATGAAGGTAGGGAAGAAATGGATAATATCGACGAGGCGTCCTCTGTATAGCCAATTTGACAAGGGGATGTGACGTGCGCCGAAAACTGCGGCAAAGGGCATTGTGACAAAGCGTCGGCATCTTGGTGTTGCCTTCCAGTCTTGTAGATGACGTCAAAGTCATATAATTGTAATCAGAGAATCCAGTGGCCTAGTTGTCCCGACAAGTTTTTGATTGTGGACAACCAGCAAAGAGCATGGTGGTCTGTCACAACAGTAAAATGTCGACCATGTAGGTATGGATGAAATTTTTGGATGGACCAGGCAACAGCCAAGCACTCTTGTTCGGTTATCGAGTACCTCTTCTCTGCAGAGGTCAGAGTGCGGCTTGCATACGCGACAACTTTCTCGCAAAAGGCATGGTCGCGCTGGAGGAGTACAACGCCGATTCCTTGTCCACTCGCGCCAGTGTGTAACATCGCAGGTGCCTTGTCATCGAAATAACAAAGCACCGGTGGGGATGTCAGTGCCTGCTTGAGTTCTTGAAATGAGGCTTCGCATTTATCATTCCAATCGAAGGAACCGGTACTAGCAAGGAGCTTGTGGAGAGGAGCGGCAATAGTGGCAAAGTTGCGAATGAAGCGGCGAAAGTACAATGCGAGTCCAAGGAAACTGCGTAGTTCTTTGGAACGAAAGGGTCGCAGAAAGTTGAGGACTGTGGAAATTTTGTCCTGATCAGGCTGGATGCCATCTTTACTAACTAGATGTCCTAGAACTTTTATAGCTGTGTTGCCAAAATGGCACTTCTTTGTGTTTAGTTGAAGTCCAGCATTGGAGAGACATGTGAGCACTTGATCTAGGCGTATCAGATGATCAGCAAAAGTGGAAGAAAACACGACGATATCGAGGTAGCATAGACAAATTTTCCACTTGAGGCCACGAACAACAGTGTCAATCATCCCTTAAAATGTGGCGGGAGCATTACATAGGCCGAATGGGATTACGTTTAACTCGTAAAACCATCCGGCGTAGAAAATGCGGTCTTTTCTTTGTCTGCTTCGTCCATTGGTATTTGCCAATACCCGGATCGAAGGTCAAGGGTGGAGAAGTATTGGGTGCCTTGCAATGAGTCAAGTACATCATCTATACGGGGCATCGGATATACATCCTTTCGGGTAATCTTGTTGAGCGCGCAGTAATCAACACAAAATCGTACCGATCCATCCTTCTTTTGTACCAACATAACGGGTGATGACCAAGAACTGGTAGAGGGTCGTATGATGTTTCTTTTTAGCATATCGGTCACGTTCTCCTCGATGATTTTGCGCTTGGCCAAGGAGACTAGGTAGGGACGACGGCGTACAACAGTCTGATCTTCAGTGTCGATACGATGATGTGCAACTGTGGCCTGTCCTAGTGCCGAAGCATTGGCATCGAAGGAGGCCTGGTGTTTCGTTAGCAAATTTAGCAACGCCTCACGTTGCGAAGCAGAAAGGTCAGGATTTATCCCGGGAGCAAAGGAGGAGGAAGTAACAGACTGGGCCTGTTGTGGCTGAGCTGTCAAGGCGTCAATAGAGACCAAAGACACCGGTTGAGTATCCACATAACATCACACTGCAGAACCTTGGGGTAGGAGGACGGGTTCTGGGGTAGGGTTCAGGCCAAGGATTATCGCAGCACTGTCTTTGAGCCGCACCACGCTGGAGGCGACTACAACGCCGCGAGCTAGACAGCTGCTGGAAGGGGTGATAAGGACGTCACCATTGGCAATATTCGGAGAAGTGATGGTGATGAGTTGCTCCTGACCCGGGAGCAGTATGGATTCGGAAGCTGTGAAGAAACGCAATGGTTTTTCGTCGACGCGTTTGCTGCAATGATCGCTCTTGGTCATTTTGACTACACGTTGACGGCAAGAAATTAATGCAGATGCTGATGAGAGAAAGTCCCAACCTAAAATTAGTTTATGAGGACATGAAAGTAAGACAGCGAAGGTGATGCGATGATGAATATCATCAATGAAGACACGCGCTGTACATTGGGCCGATGGTCTAATTATTGCTCCATTGGCTTCAATCAAAGATGATCCTAGGTAGGGTGTCTTCATTTTCCGCAATCGAGAACACAAGTCGGCATGCATAACTGAAATAGTTGCTCCCGTGTCCACCAAAGCCAACACCCGCACATCTTGCACAGTTACCAATAACATGTTTGACGGTCGTTCAGGAGGACTTGGGTCATTTCGCCGGGCCCTCCAAAAACTGCACTGTTTAGTTTTCCGATCGTTGGGCAGCCAGTTGAGAGACAGGCCGAAGCGGTGAAACAGAGCTTCGGAGTGGCGAAGGAGAGCATGGTAGGGATGCACGTGTATTGTTGGTCGTGTTGGAAATGCGCACAGGAGACGGTGATCGGTGGTTGGAACGACTGTCGGCATAACGGTAATAACCTCGAGCACATGCGTCGTCTCGTTCAAAAGCGGCATAACCACGACGTTCATCTTGCTGCCGACGTCGACAGACCCGGGAAATGTGTCCTCGAATTCCACAGTAGTAGCAAATGGGCCGTGGGGCCCGCCAGGAAGACTGGTAGGTTGGGTTCGGTAGACGGGCGACTAGAGCTGCGAGATGTTCGTGATCAGGCACAGGTGATGGTACTTGAGACCGCGATGGTTGCATTGAAGCGATCTGTGCATACGAAGCGGGTTGGGGGCATGGTGGAGCACGGTGGGTGCTTTGAAACGCTGAAATTTCTTCCCTAATAATGCCACGCAGATCGCTAGAGGCGGCTTGAGCGGAAACGTTGTTAGAAGGAGGTAAACTGTAGGCTTGTGATTCCTCACGAATTATGGTTCGAATGATGGATCGGAGCTCCATACTGTTTGCTACGGGGTTCTCAGAGAAGTCTGGTCGCAGGCGGAATGACTGCAAGGTATCAAGCCGCTGGCATACAGAGACGACGTCGGAAACCACCGAAGGGTTGTGTGCAACGAGGGCGTTGAAAGCGGTAGGTCCGATACCCTTCAGAAGGTGCCGGACACGATCACCTTCTGGCATGGTGTCGTCGATACGGCGGCAAAGTGCAAGCACATTCTCAATATAAAAAGTGTAGGACTCACCGCAATGTTGAACGCGTTCTGCCAGTTTCTTGCGAGCAACTTCTGAACGGACGGTCGGTGTGCCGAAAATGCGGAGCTGGTCTTTGAAGGAAGACCAATCGCGGAAGTCACTCTTATGATTCAGGAACCACGTCTTGGCAACCTGAGAGACTTAAAAGTGGACGCGTGCTGATTTCGATGCCTCGTTTCAGTTGTTGTAGACACCTACGCGGTCATAGTTGTCGAGCCAGTCTTCGACATCTTCGCCAGGGAGACCGGAGAAGACTGGAGGCTCCCGAGGGGGGTTGTTGACCAGGCTAGGGTTGGCAGCTGGTGGTTGCGCCGGCGGGTGGTTCGGTTGGGCCTGCTCTTGCGCCATGGTGCTCTGCTGGCGTAAGCGACGTCCCGAACGGAGCTCCAGGAGCTGGCTTTGGATGAAGAGAGGGCGAAGAGATCGGGAAGCACCTTCCACCACTTGAAATACAACGGTTCAGCTGACGCTTTATTCAAGCAACAGCAAGATGGCGCCGATGATGAAGAGGAACGGGCCGAAGACTGATGATGGTTATTGACAGATGAGGAACAGATGAGGAAGATGACGTCCAATGAATTCTTACAAATTCAACTTTCTCCTGCGTAAACTGGACAGGTCGTGCTACCTAGCAGGGCCCAGTTGAGTCAAAACACGTCTGCCATTTCGGAATCAACGGCAGCCGTTGTTTCTGCAGTGGCTTCTGCTGCTTTTGTTTTGCTGCTACTTGTGTCACCAGCCGTGCAGTAAAGCCAGGCAACGTTATACGTAAGACGGTCCGGCAGTCAATTAGAGGTGCGCTAACCCAATGCGGACCACTAAAACGTGATTTTATTTCAAAATAGGCACTTCCTTGGCATAAAAGTAACACTACGAGGTTTTTGGACCGCTATTTCAACAATCAACGTCGACTTAACCGTTGCCCCTAATGTTTCTTTAAGTCGCATCTGACTACAGACTACAAGTGCGGCCATAAGCCGACTTCAGGCAAATCGACATTTCCAAGACTTGTTAAAGCAATCACTGCCGCTCCCGCGCTTTCAGTGGCAATTCGCTATAGTGCTGGAACATATTTCCAAATCAGCACATGCACTTTTTGGTTGGGAGATACGAGATGTTAAAGCAATCATACTTTTCAAAACCAAGTCACGTTTTAAAGCGCAACATTATTTTTGCCTCCATTCATTAGAGACGTACTTGTTACACACAGTAACTGGCAGTGGGAATCTTGTGAGTTACCTTGTTTACCTGATGATTAATAAAATTTGTGTTTGTTACATCAAAATTCAGTTCGTACTTTAAATTAATCTTGAAAATTAAGCACTGCTATCATCAGTGCTGTCGTGACATCTTGAAGCAGCAAAAGTTTGGCTACATTGTTACGTAATAAAGCCATGAATGATGATATTTTATTAGGCAAAGAGTAATGCCACCTGTACGTATTTTGCATGTGCTCACAAGAAGCTGGAGCAATCGCAGGAATGTGGAGAGCCACGGTGTTGTGATGCATTGACTTTGACAGTACGAAAAACAAAAGCAGCTTGAATATGTGGTCAGCTATATATAATAGTACACCCCCAACTCTTGCCAATACTTTCTTTCCAAAGTTTAGCGAGTTTACATATTCTTTTAGCACACAAGATGAATAGAAAAATGGTATTCCTACTATTTATGTTAAAGCACCAAAAACACTAAATTAACCTAAATTGTTTTATGACAAGACACGATTCTGTATGGTCGGTTGTGTAAGTTCCTTTTTACAAAAAAGTGACTAGTGTCGTGAAAATTGTACGAACTGCTACATGTATTCAAGTAAAGCCGCACATTCGTTAGAATGTGCATCGAAGAAGTTTCGAGGGGCTGAGCCTGGAGCACACATCTGCAGATATGACAAAGTTCACAGAGAGATACCAAACTTCTATAGTAACATCCCACATACAGTACACACAGCAGCCATCATGATCGCTCATACATCTTAATACATGTCCTTATTACATAATCTCTGAATGTGGAGAGATGAGTATAAAAAAAATTAAAAGATGGCAGGTCCCATTACCTTCAACCTGCTTTCCAACAGGGTTCTGCGACTGCTGTAGACCAATCTGCGCAAAAGCTCCAGGCACAGCTGAAATGGAAAAGAAAGAAAGGAATATCAAAAAGGGAACTTCACAACCCCTATTCTTATCAAATATATATGGTGCACTTTGAGAACACTGCACCTGCAATGTGCCTAAAGATCAAGCCCTATAATCTACAGCGTCTATAAAATGTGAGCTATGCATCCACAGAATTTGTGACATTAGAGACAGTGCACCATCGTGTTCGTGTTCCTACAGAGCTAGCGTGCCTACAGAGCTCATGTGCCTGTAAAGTCCACATTCTGCGACACTTCTCCACTAAAAGCGTCCTCTTCCCTCGAGTTGATGGCAGAGCCATTACTTGACAGGAATTGTCACTGGGCCTCCTAGACATGTCACGACAATTTTTAGGAGGTGTGGCGTCTTTTTCAGATGAGGGGCGACACTGCCCAACTGGGCGAAGTGAAGAGTGAGCTCCAAGTTGACGTTTGCTTTAGAGTGCGTGCGCAAGGAGTGGAAGATGATACCTGCCAATAACGGAGGTCTCAGAAGTGTGTCACTCAAATGAATTCATCAGTCATCTCTATCAAGCCAAGTGGCGCATAGCTCAATTCTGTGCAAATCAACAACTTCCCACTGCAAGAGTCACATATGATATGCGCACCAATTCTGCCTAATCAAATGCATGGCAGTTCAGTTTACTGAGAAGGCTGCTATAACTTTACCGACATTTACAATTAACAAGTATTCTGAATGCATCAGAATGTTTAGTTTTGTGCTGAAATGAAATTTGAGAGGTGTGAAAGTTAGGTAGAGGTTAGTTAGGTGCTAGCTTAACATTCAGTCAGGCCCATGATACTACACAGTCAATATTTAACAGAATTTTTTTCAGTCGTTCAATACTGCCAGAGTGCCCGAATGACACCAACATCAATTGCACTGAAACATAGCTACAACGAAACAGAACATCCTTGTGTGAAAGCATACAAAAACATAGATCATGTTTCAATCCAAATTAGACAGCGCAAGCTTGCCGCCCAGCAAACAAACACAGTGATCATTAAGCAAGAAGCCAGCGTGCACCCTCCTTGGAGTTTTCCGAGGCAGTATTTTCAGATATATGGACTACATATGTAATATTGCTTAAAAGCAGTACATTGTATACTTTTAGTACTCCCGATGGGTAAAGTTCATCAATGCAAGGACAAATGGGAAAAAAAAAAGGTGCCATTCATTCTACAAATCAAGTTTGCATGCGACATGTACACATAAAAAAGATAAAGCACTGAAATGCCATTCTTTGCTGCCTGGTCAAAGAAGTTACAAGTGAAAAAAAAAAGGAAGAAAAAGAAAAGAAGTACACCCGACATGCAAGGAATACAAAAAAAAATTTGAGATTTATACATCGCATTTGTATATTAAGTTTGTCAATGGGATCAGAATTACAAAATGTCAAGGTGTTATGGTAATTATATAGTTGATAAAACAATGAACATGACCAAGTGCTGCTAATTAAAACATCTTTGATTATTTGTTGCTGACTTGAGCTTTCAGGCCAACCTCTGGTCAAGCAGGGTCATCGAGCACGACTTCGAGTGTAACAGTCTTCCTCGATGTAATTCGACAAACATGGCTCTTGCTCGCAATACGAGTCGATGATGAGTCACTCCATGGCTGTCCTCGTCGCTTCCCCCGCTCAAATGCTACACCAGAGTTGTGAAAGCGGTCACTACCATGCAGTCATCATGCTGCTGTCATGCCATCACTAGTGCACTCGGTTGTCATCCAGCTATTAGCAGCTACAAGCAGCTACAAGCAGTAGATATAGTATTTGTTGAGCGAAAAAGTTGCAGTATTCAAGCCCATGGCAAGGGTCTCTGAACAGTGGCCTAACTACAGTAGAATTTCGGTGATACGTACTAATCTTAAGCGGGATCGAAAACATTCTCCCCACCCAAAACTTTGTAGAAAAAAAAAATCGAGAAAAATCAGTTTCTAAACTACAATATAAGCAGAAAACATTTCTTTCCATCAAAAGAACTTGCGTACCTTTTCTGGAACACACGCAAATGGACCAATAAAGAACAGCGCAGCCGGCTGCCACAAAAGGGCACGTTAAAGCGTCTCTTGAGGCCACCTGAAACGTGCTAAGGTACCCTCTACCATAACCATAAGAAAAAATTTACGTGAACATCGAAACCCTTCGTGTTTTCTTTTACGCCTTTATCGCCTTTAGTGTATATACAACCGCATTAGCCGTGTACTATCAGAGCTTGTAGCCGCTATAGATGATAACATACCAGCTACCGCTGTTTTACTCGCGGCGGTTGCTGCCAACGATACTCCTGTTTTCAATCCACGCGTACTGGCCCCCCACGTACTTTGAAAGCTAAGCCGCTTTTGCTATATATTATCGAATTCGTCAAAAGAACCATTGCTGTGACAAGGCGAGCATTGGACACGCATGCACTTTCAGAATTCTGTCAGTTTCATTGTTACCATACATGATCGTGTCAAGAGTGACTGCTGTGTCGTTGAAAAGTTTTCACTTGTGAACAAGGCTCCCATACGGAGGCCAAAAAATCTTGCTTTTATTTGCTTTTATTACAGCCAGCATGTTGTTTTGTCTTCTTCTAGCACCTTGCTATCAGGCGTTGCTCGACGGCTTGATACCGAAGTCCGCATTACCCTGCGCGATGCACCAAAGTGTTCGGAATATCCTAATTGCGGTGCATAGGATACAGCGGTCTTTAACTGGAAAATTTCACGAATCCGCATCACTGAGAGCACAGTGTACAGTTATGATTACCCCTCCTAATTATTTTAAAGTACAACGCAACAGTCCGATACTTTCACAAAAAGAGTGGATCGGATTGGATGTTTGTCAACGCGGCCAGATCACGCATGGAAATTTTGATTTCCAAGAGAATCGCCAGTCAACTGTACAAACGTAACAAATGTTCGAAATCCTTGAGTCTCCCAGATATACCAGGATCCTTGCAGGTAATGCCCACGTCATTTTTCTTACAAATGGACGGAACCTCAAACAACGGTTTTGTTTAGTGAATGCCAAACAAATTAATTCCTTGCTTTCATCGGAATTCAAAGAAGTATTCTCAGGACAAAAATTTTCCTCCAAACACTATAGTTGATTATAACCTAAATAGGACCTTTGTCACATGAAATGCCACATTCATCCTCGCATGAAAGTAATTCTGGGTGGTTTTCATTCTAACCATAAGTAGTTGTAACCCAATAATATCTGGTGTTTTACGTCCCAAAACCACAATATGATTACAAGAGATGCCGTAGTGGATGGCTCCATAAATTTCGACCACCCAGTGTCCTTTAAAGAGTGTCAACATCGCACAGTGCACGAGACTTTGGGATTTCGGCTCCATCGACGTGCGACCGCCACAGCTGCAATCGAACTTGCGACCTTCCAGTCAGGAGCCAAGTTCTATAGTCCCCGATTCACTGTGGCAGACTCTCTAACTGTACTTTTTTTTATACTAGTTAAGACATTATGCATACTAATAGTTAGAAGTTCATTATTGCTACTTAATGTACAAGCATCCCCTCCCTCTCTTTCAGGAGCAACATGTTCTCTACTACAGAGTTATGCAGCAGTGGTTCCCGGGAACCGAAACTTTTGGATATGCGAACCATTTCTCAAATTTTGACAGTGTGGCACTTCGCAGTTGCATTCCAAGTTGTTACAAATTGTTCAAACATTTGAAGAAAGTCTGTTCCGCCTTGTCATAACGCATAAAATCTCACACGAAGACACCCCTTGGTTAGTCAGTAAAAACCGTAAATGCCCGTAAGTTCAATAAAACATTTCATCAGAAACACAGGTGTGCATCCTTCTAGAGAGTCTTTCGTCGCCTCCTCGAATTTTCATCCAGAATGGAGTGAGGAATTCCCTTCAAAATCTTTCCTTATCACCTTCCACCACGAGAAGGAGCACTTGCTTGCGATTTCACAGTCAGTTGTTACGACTGGCCAAGTAGTGATGTCGAAACCTTTACTTAAATTCACCAGAAAGTTCAAGTTTTTGGCTAAGACTAGTGACATGGACATGCGTCTAAACAGCAAAGTCGCCACGGTGAAATGTGCCAAAAGTGTGTGATGTCATGGAAATGAGAGAACACAGATGAAGTGTCTATGCAGATTATCTCTGGTTGGAGCAGTGATGGCAGTGGGCAGAGCCTACATTTCTTATTGACTACTGCAGTTATCTCGTCTTTTGAATATTATCCCTGCAGTGACGAATAAACAGCAATGCCAGAGTCCAGGGACAATGCAGTGCGCTAAGCAAAGCCATGCTGCGGACGCACACGAAGCACTCACATGGATACTGCTGCATACCAGAATAGGCCTGTGCCAGGGCATCCAGGCTCGGACCGTTGGCAGTCAGACCACCAGCGCTGCACACAGGAAAGAGGAGAGGCCTGTGGTCATCACGTCGGTGGCGACTGTACAAGCAAGTTACGACCGACACATGCATGCACACACGGACCTACTCACTCGTCCGCCCACTTGAGAGCGCGTCGGCGCACATGTGCACATTTCCACACACGCACACACAACAAAGTGACAACTCAATGGTGCATTTACAGGTGGTCGGCTATGCTTCAAAAACAAGATTCTTTCATACGGTGCGACACGGATGTTCCAAAACAATGCACAACGTAACAATGCTTTGAATTTTTGTTGTACTTGGTGATGCAACCTAAAGGGGCCCGGCAACAATCTTACTACTAGCGATAGAACGACCTCACTATTGGAGTTTATCGCTCCATGAATCAGCTGATGCAAAAATCTTTACAATCAGTCAAGAACACGCAGAGTGGCACAGATTTGTTTCAAGCTCTGCATCTGTGCTTTCGCTCCTCTTTAGTCCCAACGTGTTTGCTGAAGGGGAAGGGGTACTACGAAAGGGGGGCAAGGGGAAGGGGTATTACGAAAGGGGGGCAAAAACCTACATCAACATATATCATGAACCTCAGGACTTCCTTCTTAATTTTTCTTTCTTCCTGCTCCCTCACTTATAGTATGACCACAAGCGGTGTGGGCATGTAGCCGCAAACCGAGGCGGCCGTAGTAACTACGTAGCGCGCGATCATTCAGATCAGGCAATGCCCGTGACCTCCTGCCGATGACAAAGTCAGGGCCACGTACGAAGTAGCGAGGCCCACCTACCACGTCAGGCCCGCTTATCATGAAATCTGCCGAAAGAAGAGTGAGTAATTTCTAGCTGTCTACGAAAAGTAATCACAAGTTCCTTGCCACATGCACTGTAATATATTTGCCTCGCTTGTTTACAGAAGCCTTGACTACTGATATGCAGCATTTTTAACAAGGTTTAAAAAGTGTTGCCGGCGGGCTCCTCTAAAGTAAATAGTCCTCACCAACTTCCAGAAATGTCAGTTTTAATAAATGAGCTGGTCGCCTGAACAAAAAACGTGCTTCTCATGCCAAATCGTCTTCTCCGTTAACCATTTCGCAGAGTAGTACCTGCTCTGCAACATCGTCGCAAACGAAACTATCGCGCTAGCGGAGGAAATACTCACCCATTGACGTTAGTGAGCGCGCCCATAGTTGTGAGCGAGTTGGTGCTCATACCCAGGGCCATACTGGACACGGGACTCAAAGAGCTGACGCCACTCAGGGATGAATTGCCGCTTGACGTGCTGCCAGACACGTTTCCTACGAGAACAGACGGGGGGGAGAGGAAGAAGTGAAATGCAAAAGACGTCGAGTGCCGAGCAACGTGAAAAGATAACCACGATTCGGCAGAGTGCACACGCTACCTCGACGAAGTGCGCTCATCTGAGCAAGACACCAGGTGTCTGAAAAGTGAATGCGCGGTCAAAAGGTTTAAGGCAATGTCACCACTCCTCAGTAAACTGTACAACCAGACAGGCTACAGGTATTGCGCAATCATATTGTGCACGAGAAACTGCCGTGTGTCCTCATTTTGTTGCTTATAATACTATTACTGTGCAGTTACATATCAATAAACTATCCCAATAAAGCATTAAAAAAAAGAACTTTCCAGGCTTCGAAAGCTTTTACTGTCACTAAAGTGGCCCAGATACGAGTATGATGTGGCCTCCACGACATGAATTGGCTATCACATCAAAATTTATGAAATTGGATAAAGCAGTACTTCCTTTCGGTGGAGAACTTCTTGGGTGATAATTGGCCAAAACACAATTTCAAAAGAATGTTTTAATAGCTGCAAGACATTTAATGTTTCTTTTCAATATTTCTTTCTTTTAACATAATCACACAGGTACAGTACAAAGTATTACATGAATTAGAAATAGTAAAATTATTTGCTTGTATAAAAGGGTTATGTAATGCCTGCATTACTTCATTAGTGAAAAAAAATAGACCATTAAAAAAATCAGGGGAAAAGAAAACTCGATTAAAAAAAGGAGCAGGAAATGACAATTATTACCTAAAACCATGATTAGATGCTTCCAAACTAGAAGATTATTTTCGAAGAAAACTCAGTCAGTAATGCAAATCAGTTCTGCGCAAACTCACAAAGCGGTGGAAGGGTTAAGAAATGGAAAGATAGATCCTTGTGGCTTCGCGCTACGAACAAACAGGTGGTTGTCTTCTTTCCCTTTCTTAAAACTTGGTCAGGTAGCAATTACACCTTTCAGGAGTTGACAGAGGCCCATTGAAGCAAAATAACGCATGCACATGTGGATGAAATATTGCTTGACATATTCGCTGCAACCAAATAGTGTTGTCCATCCAGTGAATAAGTAGCCAATGCTTCATGCACAAAACCATTCCCCTTGTGAAATTTCACAACAATTTTTTTTTTCACTACCAACAATCAGGGTTTCCTTCTTAGGAAAGCACATGCACAGTCCTAAGCAAGTGTTCAAAGCTTGTGAGAGCAAGCATATGGGCAACTGACCATCACAACACTGTCACATGACATCGTGGGGCACACGTGCAACACAAGAACAACACAAACACAAGGGGGGTAACGGAACAAGAACAGAATGCGATCGTTTTCGACGCGCGGCGATAGAAGTGGTTTGCCAGACGCTTTCTCACCTGCCGAACTGCGCCTGCCGAGGACTGCTTTTGTTTTGAGCAGCGTTTCGTTTATTAGCGTTTTTCATTTCATTTTTTTTTTATTGAGTAAGAAGTTCACAATTTTTTTTTTTGCGTGTGCATGTATGCATGTTTTGCCATCGACCATGGTCCGAAGGAGGAAACACAGACAGGAGGAGTAGCCAGAATGGGAGGGGAAAAAGGAGGGAGAAAAAAAAGAAGAAAACAATGTGTTAACAGATTAAAAAATGTAAAAGAATAAAAAAAATAAAAACGAATGAAAAGAAATCATTCTTATGGCAATAGACTAAATGAAATTCTAGAAAAATAAAGCATACTTTCAACTAAAAAATGTGAGGTTAGTGCATTCAGTTTTGTTTAGATAAACCTTTACAACCTAATAGCTATATACAAACCTCACACTAAACCAGCATGGCAGAAAAAAGCCAAAAGTGAAAAGTACCAGGCTTTGGTGTGTAAGAAATCATAAAGCAGTGGTTAATACGTGGCATATATATGAGGTGCAGTTATTAAACTGAAATCAGCATTAGACTCCTCACCAAGTGCCATTGCAAATTTTAGTAGCATGCTCCCTCAATTTGCCGTCTCAGAAGAGATTTGAAGTTTTGGAGATCGAATATTTCAGAGCGGTTCCTCCATACAGGAGCCGGGTGCGATTTCTCATTATCGTTTAGCCAGCATGCAAGAGCCACTGTATATGAGGAGACACCTTTTTGCCCTTTCGCCTCAAAACGTGCCTGCATATTGCATTCTTTTGCTTTGTTTCTTTATGTGTGTATCATGGCAGCATGTCATGGTAGATGATGAAAAAAAATACATGAACGAAACGCACCATGAAAGAGCATGTTTTGGGAGAGCTCTATAGGAAGGCATCATGGAAACATGTCATGGGTGGGTATGGTCAAAGGAGGGTATTAGGAAACATATCGTGGGAGGGCATCAAAGAGCATGTCAAGGAGGCACATCGTGGGAGCCCATCATTAGAGCATTTCATGGGAGAGCATTTCATGGGAGAGCATTTCATGGGAGAGCATTTCATGAGAGAGCATCAAGAAAGCATGTCAAGGGAATGCATCCTGGGAACGTGTCAAAGAAGCGATCCTTGGGAGAACATCAAGAAAGTCTGTCAAGGGAATGCATCACGGGCAGGCATTGTAGTGGCAGCAGCATCGGCGCTGCAAAGGAGACGACCGAGACGCTCGCCTTTGCATGAGGCAAGTATCGCTGCCACGTGGCCCGAGCCAATGCCTGGAAGAACTATGCCTGGAACGTCGCTCTCTTTTCAATTAGAGCTTCCTGCCAGCAAGCAACCTCTGAGGCAATGCCTCCTGTCGCATGTTGCGACCGGCAGCCACGTGTGACCGCTTGCCTCTGTACCGCTCACTCACGTGACATTACCGTACCGCTCTGTCACGTGACATCACAGCTGCTCGAAGGCAACTGTGAGAGCATTGCTGTGTTCGCAAGAAGCGTTCGCCTTCGTACCGGAGGGGGAGGGCAAAATCCGAGGGTAGGGCAGCACGTTCGCGGCTCACGTTCCAGGCATAATTTTTTCTAGGAGGCATTGCTTGAGCGCGCTAGGGTTCGAAAGGGTCGTTAAAATGCTTATTTGAGAGGTCATGCTTGACCCCCTCTCTCTGTCTGGTAAGGCCGGGACTTCGTTAGTGTGCGAAGTCACACATCACCACAGCATCAAAGAAAGGCCTCAAGAGAAGAGCTTTGCAGGAGAAGTGAACGCGCTGTGTGGCGGCGTCAAGAGGGGAAAGCATCAAGTGCATCAAAGGAATGAGTCATGGGAGCTTGTCATGGTAGAGCTTCATGAAAGGGCATCAAAATAAGATGTCATAAGAGTCATAGGAGAAGAGAATCCACTGTTGGAGAGATTCTATGAAGATCATTTAAGGCGGCGTGTTGTGGGAGCATGTCAGAGGTAAGCATCAAGAAAGTGTGCGAAGTGAGCCCATCATGCGAGCGCTTCGTGGAAGGGAATCAAGGGAACATACTAAAGGGGTCATCAAGGGAGATTGTCAGGGGAGAGAATCAAGGAAGTGCGCCAAGGGAATGTGTCATGGCAGCATTTCGTGTAAAAGCTTCACAAGAGGGTGCCAATAAATAAAATTGTCTTGTTCACGTGAGTTTTAAGATTATTCATAATTAGTCTAAGTTACTGACAATAAATAGGAATTGTTTTGCCTACTGAAAACTTTATTGATTGTAGATGATTGTTATTGTCAATTCGCCCATTTTTTTTTTCTGTTTCCCTGCAACGAAACCCCCCCTTCTCATATCACATGCAGCCCTCCACCCCCGTATTGGTTTCACGCAGTTCTGCCCTGCACCAGAAAAGGTAGCCGACCCCTGGTTTACAGAATCCGTAACTACTCAAGCCACAACATAACGAACCTGGATATGATGAATTATTGGTTATAATGAAGTGAAGAATAGTTTTGTAGCAGATGCAGTGTTTATAATGTATGTTTGTAACTAATTTTCGGAATAACAAAGTTTTTTTTGATGGCAGGTACAACTTGGTTATAACAACGTGAGTGCGATTCCTTTCCACTACGTCTTCACTTTCTCTGCAGACAAGCCCTACAGACATTACAAACTTGGTAGTAAGAAGAAAGGTGTTACGGCTACAGCGCAGAGCAATAGCGCTTCCACACAAATATATGAGAATGATGGAGGGCAGTGCAACAGCGTTGGTCACTCGAACAGAGGGGCGTAAAGCAGAGGTGAGGGCGAATGGAGATGGGTAGTTTACAAAATTGACTTTGTAGGTACAGCAAGCGCCTCGGAAGACACTCGGTGCACGGGAACGCAGAAAAGAAACTTCTGAGCAATCGCACACGCATCTACCGAAAATAAGACTGTTGTGTAAACAAATACAGTGGAACCATGCTGTTATGTTCCCCACTGCTGTGTTTTCTTGGCTGTTAAGTTGTGTTTCATCGGTCCCGGAATAGCTCCTCTATAATCTCAAGTATTGTGAACCCTGCTGTTACGTCGCAACTGTGAGAGCGTTCCTGCATGATGCGTCGCAACCGAGTCTGCAGAACCTGCCTGGCATGCCGCCTGGGCACTGCCATTTTGATTTCACGTTTGGCGACTAGTCTTGGCTTGGATCGCCTATAGAACAAACCGCAAAAAGCTGCAGGAGAGTTGGAGATGCCACCCCTTGTTGGCCATTTGCAAAAAGTGCTATCACCATCATCACCGTGCTGACTGTGCTTACAACAAAAGTTTCACTACGAAATGCTGAAAGTGCGTGATACGTGTGACACTCGACAGTCCCACCGCCACACACCACACGTTGTGACTCGTCTTCAGTCGCTGTAAACGCTGCGCCAGGCTCCCTATCAGTCTGCAAAAATTAAGTACTTTCTTCCTCGTTCATCTAACCACTACCACCACCACTAGTCGCTGTTGTGTGCGCTAAACCTGTTGACTATCGTTGAGCTTGTCAACGCAATATTTGTCAAGCCTTAATGGTGTCACGTAAGTGGACAGCCCTGTCTCGAGTGTATTTATCGTGGGCAGTAGCCTACAACAATTTCAGCACTGGGCACAATGCGTTACGTCGAATAAGCGTGGAGTGCAGTGAG